CTTTTGCAAACACCCTGGTAACTTCTCTGGGTTGCCTTGGCTTTTGGGCAATGCTCTTGGCTTCTTGGGACTTTGTCTTGTTCTTGGTTCCTTGGGACTCTGTCATGCTGCCATGGAATCTTCAATGCCTTTGGATTATGCTTCATGTTGTTTGCCATTGAACTTTGGAAATTTTGCCTTTGCATTTAAGACTCTGCTTTTGCCATTGAACTTTTGAAACCTTACGTCTATGTTAAAGATGGAGCCCCCGGTGGCACAGTGGGTTCAACCCCTGTGCCGACAAGACTGACGACCGACAGGTCACAGGTTCGAATCCGGGGAGAGGCAGATGAGCTCCCTCTATCAGCTCCAGCTCCAGCTCCAGCTCCTCATGCGGGGACGTGAGAGAAGCCTCCCACAAGGATGATAAAAACATCAAATCATCCAGGTGTCCCCTGGGCAACGTCCTTGCAGACAGCCAATTCTCTCACACCAGAAGCGACTTGCAGTTTCTCAAGTTGCTTCTGACATGACAAAAAAAATGTTAAAGACTTTGCTTTTTCTTCAATAAACTTCCTTCCTTCCTTAGGAGATCCCTCGTTTTCCGAGGAGGGTTGTCTTCCAGCATTCTTGTGGGTCCGTATGTGGCTGTGGAGCCCTATTCTTGCTCTGCATCTTCTTCCGCAGTGAGGGTATTGGTTTCCAGGTGGAAGGCGGTCTCGGTCGGGGTTGGCTTGACGCACCTTCCTCTTGGCACGCTTCTCCCTTTCACCCTCCATTCATGCCTCTTCAAATTCTGCAGCACTGCTGGTCACAGCTGACCTCCAGCTATAAACTACAAAACCTTCAGCCTTGGTGTGGTGTGGTGTTCTGAGCAAGGTGAATCTATCCTGAGTTGCGGCAGTAGTTCACCTCCATCCAGAGAGCACTGTAGACTCAAACCATGATGGATCTGGACCAAACTTGGCATGAATACTCCATATACCTAAATATGAACACTGGTGGAGTTTGAGAAAAATAGAACTTGACATTTGGGAGTTGTAGTTACTTTATTTTCCAGATCACCAAACTGGGCCACAGCAACACGTGGCAGCAGATGGCTAGTATCGTATATAAACGTGGATAGCTGCATGCATTTCTCTGCATGTCCTTGGCTTTTGTAGTTTTTCTTTCTTGAAACAAAGGGCTCATTTTTGCCCAGACAGAGGTCGTCATAAACTAAAGGCTTTGGCTTAAAGCTGCTTTCCCCTTTGATGAGTGCTGTCTAATGGTCCTTGCTGACCCCGTACATGTAACTTATCACTCTTGTATTTATTTATAAACATATTCATGTTCTGCCTTGTACCGAAAGATCTCTTGGCCTCCCATCTATCATAACTGTTGCGCATGTAGTTGCCGATGATACGTAACTGTCTGCCTTAAGTGCGTCAACATTTTCACTGGGATTGTGGGGATGGTTGGATTCAGCAGAAGGACCCTTGTCTTTTCTTCTCTCTGGTCATCTTAAAATTGTATCTTGTTCTGGCCAAGTACCATTCAGGCCTTTGCACAATTAAGACTTGTGCACCAGCTGTGACCGTACCTCATGAAGGCAGATCTGGCCAGGGTGGTCCATGCCTTAGTCACCTCCGGATTGGATTACTGTAATGCACTCTACGTGGGGCTGCCCTTGAAAACGGCCCGGAAATTTCAATTGGTTCAACGGGCGGCGGCCAGGTTGTTAACTGGTGCTCCTTACAGGGAGCGGTCAACCCTCCTGTTTAAGAAGCTCCACTGGCTGCCGTTCATTTTCCGGTCCCCATTCAAGGTGCAGGTGCTTACCTTCAAAGCCCTAAACAGTTTGGGACCCGCCTACCTGCGTGACCACATTTCTGTATACGAACCCACACGATCTCTTCAATCATCTGGAGAGGCCCTGCTCGCGCTCCCACCTCCATCGCAAGTGCGATTGGTGGGGACGAGGGAGAGGGCCTTCTCGGTGGTGGCCCCTCGACTCTGGAACTCACTCCTCAAGGACATCAGTCATGCTCCAACTTTGTCAATCTTTAGGAGCAGCCTGAAAATGTGGTTGTTCCAGAATAAGGAAACTCCCAGCAATATGTCCCTAAAATGCACTTTATCAATGATCTAGGATTGTCTGCACACCCTTTCCTCTCTGAAATTCTATCCTAGTTATATATTTCACCTGGTCATGCTCAGCATTATTTTTAATTTATTTATTATTTTATTTTATTTATTTACTTTATTTGTATATTGCTCTTCTCAGCCCTTGGGCGACTCAGAGCGGTTTACAACAATTTCGGTATACACAATACAAAATCATTAGGCATAGCATCACAAATCATTAGACATCAACATCAGTACATCAGTACATCAATATAACAAATCCATCAGGTCTCATCAATGAAATCAAAATCCAAACTCGTTATCTATTGTTCCATGTTCCAATAATCAATCAATAATCAATAACACTGCCTAGTCGAATGCCTGTTCAAACAGCCAGGTCTTCACTTTTCTCCGGAATGCCAATAAGGAGGGGGTCAATCTGATATCTGCAGGAAGGGCGTTCCACAGCCGAGGGGCCACCACTGAAAAGGCCCTGTCTCTCGTCCCCGCCAGGCGTGCTTGTGAAGCCGGCGGGACCGAGAGCAGGGCCTCCCCAGACAATCTTAATGTCCTAACTGGTTCATCGGAGGAGTTGCGTTCGGACAGGTACGTCGGGCCAGATAGGTAAGGGACAATGGTTGGTGCAACCCCTTTGCAATAACCCTCACATAGGATTGTTGTAGGTTTTTTTGGGCTATATGGCCATGCTCTAAAGGCATTCTCTCCTGACGTCTCGCCTGCATCTATGGCAAGCATCCTCAGAGGTAGTGAGGTCTGTTGGAACTAGGAAAAGGGGTTTATATATCTGTGGAATGACCAGGGTGGGACAAAGAACTCTTGTCTGCTGGAGCTAGGTGTGAATGTTTCAGCTGACCACCTTCATTAGCATTTGATGGCCTGGCAGTTGTTTGGTGTGGCTTGTTGGTGCCTGGGGCAATCTTTTGTTGAGAGGTGGTTAGATGTCCCTGATTGTTTCCCCTCTGTTGTTTTGTTGTTGTGATTTTAGAGTTTTTTTTTAATACTGGTAGCCATATTTTGTTCATTTAGCCATTACCACGTCCCCTTAGGTATTGCACCATGACATTCACAGTTACTACTCAGATGCTATCAATGATGCTATCAAAACAGAGGCTGGATGGCCATCTGTCAGGGGTGATTTGAATGCAATATTCCTGCTTCTTGGCAGAATGGGGTTGGACTGGATGGCCCATGAGGTCTCTTCCAACTCTTTGATTCTATGATTCTATGATTCTAATGTACCACATGTTCATCAAACAGTATTTTTCTTTGACTAGAAATGCTTTGCTATTGCTATCTAACAGTTTCACCTCCTCCCTTCCAGACCTACACCACACAGTGTCTTCTCGTGCTCTACTGACCCAGATGCTTGGTCTTCCTGTGATGAACCCTTTTAGGCCCAGCAAAGTTCTCCCTTCATTAATGTGTCTCCCCAGAGGTTGTCCTTTCCTTGACCACTTCATCTCGTTCCTTCCAGACCCACATCTTGCTGTGTCTTTCATGAGTACTATTCCCCCATCTTAATGTGTTGAACTGTTTTATGTCTCCAGATGTTTCCTCTTGGTTAACCCATCTCCACAAATGTTCTTTTCATCTTAACCCAGTGTCACCTTCTTCCAGATGACCAACCACTGGCCCATGTGGTTGGTCATCCTGTGATTAATCCCTTTAGCCCTCGGAAGGAAGGAAGGAGGAGGAAGGAAGGAAGGAAGGAAGGAAGGAAGGAAGGAAGGAAGGAGAATTCAGATCAAGGAGAGGGGAACATTTGGGGAGATAGACAGCATGTCAGGAGCGGCTTCCTTCCTTCCTTCCTTCCTTCCTTCCTTCCTTCCTTCCTTCCTTCCTTCCTTCCTTCCTTCCCTTTCTTCTTCCTTCTTTTCCTTCCTTCTTTTCTTCCTTCTTCCTTCCTTCTTTTCTTCCTTCCTTCTTTCCTCCCTACTTCCTCTTCCTTCCTACCTTCCTTCCTTCTTTTCCTTCCTTCCTTCCTTCCTTCCTTCCTTCCTTCCTTCTTCTTTCTTTCTTTCCTTCCTTCTTCCTTTCATTCCTTCTTTCCTTCCTTCTTTCTTCCTTCCTTCCTTCCTTCCTTCCTTCCTCCTTCTTCCTTCTTCCTTCCTTCCTTCCTTTCTTCCTTTTTTTCCTCCTTCTTTCCTTTTCTTCCTCCTTCTTTCTTTCTTTCCTCCTCCTTCCTTCCTTCCTTCCCTCCCTCCCTCCTTCCCTCCTTCCCTCCTTCCCTCTTTCCTGCCTTCTTTCCAGACCCCTCCTTCCTGCCTTCTTCCAGACCACATTCAGCAGTGTCCCTCTCAAACCCTACTGGTTCATGTGGTTGGTCTTCCTGTGATTAGGCCCCTTCGTTAATCTTCCCAAATATTCTCCTCCCCTTGACCCAGTTGTCTTCCTTTCCTACCTTCATCATAAAGTGTCCTCCTTGAACAGTACCATTCCAACTGGTTGGCCTTCCTGACATGAACCCCAATACTTAACCCTTTCCCCTTTCTTCATGCCTTTGGGTCTCCCCATTTTCCTTGACAGGACAGGAGCTCCTGCCAGAAAAGCAGGTGATGTGGCTCCGTGGACACCAAGGCTGTGCAGACCAGTGTTTGGTGTGTGGGAGGGTTGTGGGTTGCATTGTGGGGGCAGAGTGTTGCCGCTTCTCCCGGCTCTGGTACCAGAAGCAGGAGCACATGCACCGAAGAGGAGGACCTTGGCACAGAGTGTCCACCACGGAGCTACAATGCTCTCTTCCTCCTTCGTTCCTTCTTACTGGCCACCACGTTGGACAAGGAGGAAGTGGGCCACCACACCACCTGCCAAGCTAGGGTGAGGAGGGGAGGCTCCTCCTTCCTCTCTGCTGCCTTGGAAACCCAGTTGCCTCTATGCTTTCTGTCTCTCTCCTGCAGGGTACGGCCACGCAGCCCCCAGTACCGATGGTGGCAAGGTCTTCTGCATGTTCTACGCCCTCCTGGGTATCCCTCTCACCCTGGTCATGTTCCAGAGCCTGGGCGAGCGGATCAACACCTTCGTGAGGTACCTCCTCCACCGGATCAAGAAGTGCCTTGGCATGCGGCGGCCAGAGGTCTCCATGGCCAACATGGTGACCATCGGCTTCTTCTCCTGCCTCAGCACCCTCTGCATCGGTGCTGCGGCGTTCTCCTACTACGAGAACTGGACCTTCTTCCAGGCCTACTACTACTGCTTCATCACCCTCACCACCATCGGCTTTGGGGACTACGTGGCCCTCCAGAAGGAGCAGGCTCTACAGACCAAGCCCCAGTACGTGGCCTTCAGCTTCATCTATATCTTGACCGGGCTGACCGTGATTGGGGCCTTCCTCAACCTGGTGGTGTTGCGCTTCATGACCATGAACGCTGAGGATGAGAAGCGGGATGCTGAGCACCGGGCTCTGCTCACCCACAACGGCCAGGCCAGCAGCATTCACACTACGGACACCACCGCTTCCTCGACCGCCGCCGCGCTGGGAGGCATTGGAAGCTCCAGCGTTGGCTGTGGAGGCGGCGGAGGCCGAGGAGGCCTGCGCAACGTCTATGCCGAGGTCCTCCACTTCCAGTCCATGTGCTCCTGCCTTTGGTACAAGAGCCGGGAGAAGCTGCAGTACTCCATCCCCATGATTATCCCCAGAGACCTCTCCACCTCGGACACCTGCATGGAGCAGAGCCATTCGTCCCCGGGCCATTACCCGGAGACGCCCTCCAACCGATGCTTCTGCAACGCCCGGCGCTCGGCCATCAGCTCCGTCTCCACGGGGCTCCACAGCCTCTCCGCCTTCCAGGGACTCATGAAGCGACGGAGCTCCGTGTAACGGAAGAGGGGAACCGCCTCTCGCAGCCCTGAAAGCGGGGGAAGAGCCCCGTTCCTTTTACGGCAAAGGGAAGGAAGGGATGGAGGCCGCAGGAGATGGTGGGAAGAGCGGGGCCACAACCAGACTCAGCATTTGCACTGATATCGACACAGAGGAACAAGGGAGGTGGTTGAGGCATGGGTTGGTGTCCATACAAAGGGGGAAACAAGGGAGCCATAGCTATAAGTGTTCCCCTGCAGTTTGGTGAAGGAGAAATGAGAGGTAGGTCCTCCAGATGGTCAGCATTGGGATGGGAACCTCCAGCTGAGATGCCCATTTGGGGCAGTGGACCTTTTTTTTGGTTTTACAGCAACTCTGCTATCAATGAAGCTTGAAAACAATCCATTTTTGCACCCTCACAGGGGCGTTGTTGGGGTGTCGGTGGCAGGTTTGAGGTGGCTCTTTCAGCACCTCGACGTGGACCCACAGAAGGTGGGCTATTCTTCCAGTTTTTCGGATCCTGGCCATTTCAATGGCAATGCTTCTCTTCCCTTTCCTGTCACTGGTCGTAGGGGAAACTGTGCATTGAAACTTGTCTCCGCACACAGTGAAAAGATTGGCTTCGGCGACTGGATGGTCACTCAGCGAAAATGCTGCCTTCTATGCATTGTGGTCCGCTCATAAGTGACACTCGCCACAAGGGCCCCTGCCCGATTGCTTCCCTATGTTTGTGTGAATGTGTATATATGCAACCAAGGGGCACTTGGCTCCGCTGCACCACTGAAATAGTTGCACAGGGGTATGCCCGCACTTTGGAAACACCCACAAATCCCATTGTATGGATCCCAAAGTCCATGGCCAACCCTCTCCTGCTTCTCTATTGGGTCTTCCGTTCCATTCTGCTTCTTCCCAACAGAGTTGTGGATGCTGAAAAGGGGGAAAGGAAGGGGCCTGAGGCTGTTAGGAATTGTGGGAGTTGGAGTCCAAAACATTTGGAGGGCTGAAGTTTACCCATGTCTGGCATAGATGCACCAATTGGTACGTATTCTGCCCTTCAAAACAGGGTCAGAAGTGGAGAAATAGGACAAATAGGATTTCCTTGAAGAATGTTCCAAAGGTATATGGCTACCATTGCCCTGCCGTGGGCAACCTGGGATGATGTGCGGGCATAGCATCTTCGGGGGTTGTATCCAATTCTCTTAAGGTGCATCTACACGAGGCATTGGCAAACTTTGGCCCTTCAGGTGTTTTGGACTTCAACTCCCATCATTCCTAACAGCCTCAGGCCCCTTCCTTTACCCCCTGAGCCTGTTAGGAATTGTGGGAGTTGGAGTCCAAAACACTTGGAGGGCTGAAGTTTACCCATGTCTGGCATAGATGCACCAATTGGTACATATTCTGCCCTTCAAAACAGGGTCAGAAGTGGAGAAATAGGACAAATAGGATTTCTTTGCAGAATGTTCCAAAGGTATATGGCTACCATTGCCCTGCCGTGGGCAACCTGGGATGATGTGCAGGCATAGCATCTTCAGGGGTTTGTATCCAGTTCTCTTAAGATGCATCTACACTAGGCATTGGCAAACTTTAGTCCTTCAGGTGTTTTGGACTTCAACTCCCATAACTCCTAACAGCCTCAGGCCCCTTCCTTTACCCCCTGAGGCTGTTAGGAATTGTGGGAGTTGAAGTCCAAAACACCTGCAGGGCCAAAGTTTGCCCATGCCGGATCTACACTGTCAAATTAAGGCAGTTTGGCACCACATAATAATAATAATAATAATAATAATAATAATAATAATAATAATAATAGCAGGATTGCAGAGAAACAACTGGAAAAACTGACACGGTATGAGGATTTAAAAATTGAACTGCAAAGACTCTGGCACAAACCAGTAAATGTGATCTCAGTGGTGATCGGCACACTGGGTGCAGTACCTAAAGACCTTGGCCTGCACTTAAACACAATTGGCGCTGACAAGATTACCATCTGCCAGCTGCAAAAGGCCACCCTACTGGGATCTGTATGCATTATTCACCAATACATCACACAGTCCTAGGCACTTAGGAAGGGTCCGACGTGTGATCCAATACAACAGCCAGCAGAGTGTCTGCTGTGGACTCATCTTGTTGAGTTTCAAATAATAATAAATACTTTATTTATATTCTGCCTTCTCAACCCGAAGGGGACTCCGGGCGGATCACAGTACAAATAACACGACAAACATTCAATGCTGCTTTTGTATAGACAATACACAGACAGACAGAACAGAAAGGAGGTGTTGTTGACTCAATGTCCAGCTGTTTTATTTATTTATTTTTTTGGTGCCAAGGAAGGTGAGTCCAGCCACAGGGGGTGCTGTTGCTCCATTCTGTATGACGAAGAGCCGTTAGGACTTCCTCCTTTTGGTCAACCAGCATCTTCTTTCTTTATGGTGTCGTAAAACACCTCCCCCGCTTTTAGCGGTACCTAATTTCCCTAATTACAGTGTTTTCAAACTGCTTAGGTAAACAGTGAGCAGGGCTGACAGTCACTGCTCACGCCGACCCGGGGCTTCAAACTTGCAACGATCTTCTAGTTTGGTGAGGTCTCAGCACTGATTGGTGGTAAACACATGGAAGTAGAAGTGGTTCTGGCCATGAAAGCCTTCGACAATACATTGATCTTCTAGTTGCTGGTGATTCATCAGCTGTGCTAAACCTTCGACATTCACTGCCATGGCTCAAGGATATAGAATACTGGGAGTTGTAGTTCGGTGTGGAGCCAACACTCTTTGGCAGAGAAGGCTTTGGACCTTGCAAAATTATAACCATCATGGTTGCACAGCATTGAGTCATGGAAGTTAAAGTGGTGCCAAACTGCATCAATTCTGCAGTGTAGATGGAAGCCTAGGGGTGGCAGGTTTGGAAAGGTGAAGGTAGGGCAGAGACATAGCTATTGGGGGGGGGGGACATGGTCATCTGAAGCCCCCCATTCAAAGTCTGAAGCCCAAACGAATCATTTCCTTCACCTCCCAAACCTCTAGCATTGCAATACAGGCCTAGGGATGGCAGGTTTGGAAAGGCGAAGGTAGCGCAGAGTTAAAGTGGTGCCAAACTGCATCAATTCTGCAGTGTAGATGCAGGCTTAGGTGTGGCAGGTTTGGAAAGGTGAAGCCAGGGCAGAGGTATAGCTATGGGTGGAAAGGTGTGGTCATCTGAAGCCCCCCATTCTAAGTCTGAAGCCCAAACGAAACATTTTCTTCACTTCCCAAACCTCTAGCATTACAACAATTTACAAGTTCAGGCGAGTATTTGGAGTAATATAGTTTCAGCCTCCAAAGTACCAATACATTTAGGCATGAATGAATTTCAATTCCCCCTTTTCTGCAGTGCTACAAACAGAGGGAAAATCCAATGGAGGGGAGGCAGTGTTTGTATTTGGAGAGCGATGCACCTGCACTGTGTAATGAATGCAGTCTGACCCCACTTCTACTTCCATGTGTTTACCACCAATCAGTGCTGAGACCTCACCAAACTACAACTCCCAGAATCCCACGACATTGAGACTTGGTGTTTACAGTGGTGCCAAACTGCATTCATTGGATTGCATAGATCAGGCATGGGTAAACTTGGGCCCTCCAGGTGTTTTGGACTCCAACTCCCAGAATTCCTAACAGCCTCAGGCCCCTTCCTTTCCCCCCTCAGCCGCTTAAGCGGCTGAGGGGGGAAAGGAAGGGGCCTGAGGCTGTTAGGAATTCTGGGAGTTGGAGTCCAAAACACCTGGAGGGCCCAAGTTTACCCATGCCAAGCATAGATGCACCAATTGGTTCATATTCTGCTCTTCAAAACAGGGTCAGAATTGGAAAAATAGGACAAAATTCCCTATGTATTTTGTGTGTTTTCGACACTTTCTCATGCAAAAGTGAATGGCTGCTCCTGCAGGCTTTCAGGAGAGATAATTCACCTATTAATACCTTGGGTCACCAAGAAATAATTAATTTATTATAATTAATTCATTCCTTGGGTCACCAAGAAAAATGTAAACACCTTTGAAGAGCCAGCTGTATGTATCCATTTGCAGCCCCCCTTTTTGCACCCTGGATTTAAGCAAAAGCTTCCAAACTTCCTTAGGCTGTTCTGTATGTTTTGGAAAGCCGTGGCATCTATGCAAACCAGTGGGAGAGTCTCAACTCCGGGCCATCCTGATCCAGAAAGGTTTGCTCCTCCAAAACCCTTGGAAACCTATCTCCCCTTCCCCTTTTTTAGCTCCTTTGGACAAGGAAAATGTATCAAGAGATTGCATTATTTGCTGCTGTAATTCTCAGGCTTTAAAAAAAATGATATCCAAGTTGACGTTTCTGTTGACTCTTTTTCTGGCAATTCCCAGTTCCAGCTGCAACATTTTAGACCCAGTCACCCAGAAACATATCACAACTCTTATGTTTCCTCCTCTTCTCTTCCTGTCCTTTCTTGTTGAAAAGGTGTTTTTGGAGCCACGGTTCAGCAGGGCAGCGGTGCAACTTTTGCACTATTTATAAAAAAGGAATAATTCAGAAAAGTGTGAATTGATTCTTGGTATCTCTGTAGCAAAATTTCACAAAGCTGGCCATAAAGCAGGTGGTCCTAACCTGGGTTCGAATCCATGCCCAATAAAACCTTCCATATGCCTAAATTTCATTTTTGGAGATTTGACGATTCTCAGATTTGATTCAGGAATTTTGAGGTCCTCTAGCTTGATTGTGTGGCCAACTTCTGCACTGGAGGACCTCAAGGTTCTTAGAGAGTATACTTCTCTCTAGAGTTGACCTAGAACAGTGATCTAGAACAGTGTTTCTCAACCTTCCTAATGCCGCAAGTCCTTAATACAGTTCCTCATGTTGTGTTGACCCCCCTACCATAACATTATATTCATTGCTACTTCCAAGTGCCCTTGGAATTATAGGACTGCAAACCATGCTTCTGTTAATGCTGGCACAAGAAATGGCTATAAATAGCTTCCCAACTTGGATGGGAGACCAACCATGAAGCCCAGGTGCCATAGGCTATTTTGCAGAGGAAGGAAAGGGGGAAAACTAACTTCCTGCCTAAGAAAACCCTATTAAATTAACAAGGTCACTGTAAATCAATAGGTTTTTTTTCGTGTCAGGAGCGGCTTCCTTCCTTCTTTCTTTCCTTCCTTCCTTCTTCCTTTCTTTCTCTCTTTCCTTCCTTCCTTCCTTTTCTTCCTACCTTCCTTCCTTCCTTCCTTCTTCCTTTTGTTCCTTCTTTCCTTCCTTCCTTCCTTCCTCCTTTCATTTCTTCTTTCCTTCCTTCCTTCCTTCCTTCTTTCCTTCCTTCCTTCTTTCCTTCCTTCTTTTCTTCTTCCTTTCTTCCTCTTTCCTTCTTCCTTTCTTCTCCTTCCTCCCTTCCTTCTTGCTTTCTTTCCCACTTTCCTTCCTACCTACCTTCCTTCTTCTTTCCTTCTTTCCTTCCTTCCTTCTTCCTTCCTTCCTTCTTGCTTTCTTTCCCTCTTTCCTTCCTACCTACCTTCCTTCATTCCTTCCTCCCTCCATCCATCCTTTCCTTCTTTACATCTTTCTTTCCTTTTCCCCTTCCTTTTTTCCTTTTTTCATTTTTTCCTTCCTTCTTTACTTCCATCTTTCTTTCCTTTTCCCCTTCCTTCCTTCTTTTCTTGTTTCCTTCCTTCCTTCCTTCCTTCTGTCCCTCTTTCCCTCCCTCCTTCTCATTCTGCCTAGCTTGCTCCCATCCTCCTTTCCAGTTGAGCTGGCTCCCTTCCCTCCTTTCTTCTCCCCTCCTTCCTTCCTTCCTTCCTTCCTTCCTTCCTTCCTTCCTTCCTTCCTTCCTTCCTTCCTTCTTTCCTTCCCTCCTTCCTTCCTTCCCTCCTTCCTTCCTTCCTTCTTTCCTTCCTTCCCTCCTTCCTTCCTTCCCTCCTTCCTTCCCTCCCTCCCTCTCTCCCTCCCTCCCTCCTTTCTTCTCCCTTTCATCCTTCCTTCCCTCCCTCCTTTCTTCTCCTTCCCTTCTTTCCCTCCCTCCCTCCTTTCTTCTCCCTTCCTTCCCTCCTTCCTCCTTCCCTGCACCCCTCTCCCTTGCCTCCTTCTCTCCTGGCCTCCTTGACCCCTTCCTTGAGGGCTAACTCAGGGCAGGAACCTTCTCTCCCAAATCTTCCCTTTCCCTTGCCTGAGGAGTGCCAAGTTGAGAAAGGGAATGAGTCAGAAGAAGAAGAAGGAAGGAAGGAAGGAAAGGCCCAGAGACAGAGAAGAGAGCTGATGGAGGGGGAGAAATCCCCATCCCTCGTCAGTCCGGCTGAGCTGCCTGGCGCAAAACAGGCTCGCGCATCAGCGAGCAAATTAGGCTAAGACGGTCTTAGGCTAAAGCTTTTTCCTTTCCTGCCCATGTGACCCCGGCTGCGTGGCGGCGGTGGCAACCCGCGTGGCGTCACGTAGGCAAAGCAGGCCTTTGCTGGGCCTTTGGGGGGCACGGCTTTGGCCTTGGAGGGGATCAGGGCTGGCTCAGGGACTCCCAGGCCCAAAACCCAGAGATTGGCTTTGCAAGAGCTTCTTTGCAATCAATCCCACTTGAAAGGAATGTGCAGAAGGAGGCATTTTTGCAAAAAAGGGGGGGGGGGGACAACGACAACACACTCTTTGATCTGCCCATTTTGACAAAGCTTTAATGGCTGCCGAGAAGAGGAAATTAGGCCACGCAAGCAAGGAGCATATTGCTCTCCTCTGTGTGAGTCGGCTCCCTGCTGTCAATCACAGCCTGGCCCAGTTAGTAGGCCAGCCTGGCTTGCAAATGGGTGAATGATGTGCTCAATGATGCGCTTGCCTCCCAGTATGGATGGAGGAAGGGAAGGCGTCTCTCCAGGACGGTTGGAAATAAAGTAGCCCTTCCTGGAGAAAAAGGGGGTGTTTTGGGGTGCAACAGGAGGACCTTTCAGGGCTATTCAACACCTTCCTCAAGGATTAAGATCCTGAATTATAGGCACTCTTGTCACAGTTGTAAGTGGGGCCAAATTGGGAGGGAGAGCTCATAAACCAGAGGAGAGGATCAGCATCCAAAATGACTTTCACAGCTCAGAGCAGGCATGGTGGGGGGCTAGAATCATAGAATCAAAGAGTTGGAAGAGACCTCACAGGCCATCCAGTCCAACCCCATTCTGCCAAGAAGCAGGAATATTGCATTCAAAGCACCCCCGACAGATGGCCATCCAGCCCCTGCTTAAAAGCTTCCAAAGAAGGAGCCTCCACCACACTCCGGGGCAGAGAGTTCCACTGCTGAACAGCTCTCACAGTCAAGAAGTTCTTCCTCATGTTCAGATGGAATCTCCTCTCTTATTTACAGTTTTTATATTCCGCCCTTCTCACCCCGCAGGGGACTCAGGGCGGATTACAGCATACACATATATGGCAAACATTCAATGCCAGTTTGATAGACAACGAATATAGACAATACACAGAGGCTATTTAACTTTTTTCTGGCCGCCAGGGGAGCTGCTGCTTTCATTGTCCATCAGCGACACCGATGAAGTTCTTCCGCATTCCACATCCCGGAGTTTTCTTTATGTCCTCATAAATTAGTTAATTTAGCCTCCCACACAAGGTGGTACCTTATTTTCCTACTTGACAGATGCAACTGTCTTTCAGGTTGCAAAGGTCGACAACAGGCTACACAATGGCTGGACACCCACTCCAACCCGGGCTGGCTTCGAACTCATGACCTTTTGGTCAGAGTGATCTTAATGCAGCTGACACTCAGCCAGCTGTGCCACAATCCCAAATCTCTCTTGTAGTTTGAAACCATTGTTCCATGTCCTAGTCTCCAAGGAAGCAGAAAAAAAGCTCCCTCCCTCCTCCCTGTGGCTTCCTCTCACATATTTATACATGGCTATTATATCTCCTCTCAGCCTTCTCTTCTTCAGGCTAAACATGCCCAGCTCCTTAAGCCGCTCCTCATAGGGCTTGTTCTCCAGACCCTTGATCATTTTAGTTGCCCTCCTCTGGACACATTCCAGCTTGTCAATATCTCTCTTGAATTGTGGTGCCCAGAATTGGACACAATATTCCAGGTGTGGTCTAACCAAGGTGGAATAGAGCATGGAGAGCATGACTTCCCTAGATCTAAACACTATACTCCTATTGATGCAGGCCAAAATCCCATTGGCTTTTTTTGCCGCCACATCACATTGTTGGCTCATGTTTAACTTGTTGTCCACGAGGACTCTAAGATTGCACATTATCTTTTAAACAGAGGCTGGATGGCCATCTGTCAGGGGTGATTTAAATACAATATTCCTGCTTCTTGGCAGGGGTTGGACTGGATGGCCCAGGAGGTCTCTTCCAACTCTTTGATTCTATGATTCTAAGATCTTTTTCACACGTACTGCTCTCGAGCTAGGCATTGTCCCCCATTCTGTATCTTTGCATTTCGTTTTTCCTGGACTGGATGGCCTTTGGGTTCCGTTCCAACTCGAGGATTCTCGTATTCTATTCTTGGATCACAACACTTGCAATCCCAATCTCTTGCTATTCACGGCCATAGGCGTTTGGAGAAAACAGTGTACCAAGGCCCCATTGCAGGGAGAGGCATTGGAGCTACACCAGGCATGGGCAAACTTTGGGCCTCCAAGTGTTTTGGACTTCAAATCCCACAATTTTTAACAACAGGCAGGCCATTAGGCATTCTGGGAATTGAAGTCCAAAACACCTAGAGGACCAAAGTTTGCACATGCCTGAGCTGCACCATACTTCCTCATGTAATGTCTAGTAAAGTGATTAACTCATGTGAGGCAACAAGAGGATTTGTGGCAATTATCTTCCACATTAAACTAGTGCAAGTAGAGGAAGAAGAAAAAATATGGGATTTCCACAGCTCAGTACAAATGTGGCACCCGTTCCATTGTGCAATGAATCCAGTCCAGGTTTTTGGAGCTCACCAAAGTGCTGAAAATGCTTTAATAGGGAAGGTTCAGCACCTGGGACAGCTCCCCAAAGCTCTGATTTCAACCTGGACTGGATTCCCCACCAGGATGGCTTGAGCTCTGTATTATTATTAATGCTCCACAGCTCAATACAAATGTGGCACCCATTCCATTGTGTAATGAATCCATTCCAGGTTTTTTGGAGCTCCCCAAAGTGCTGAAAATGCTTTACTACGGAAGGTTCAGCACCTGGGACAGCTCCCCAAAGATCTAATTAACACCTGGACTGGATTCACCACCAGGATTGCATGGACATGTCTAGTAAAGAGGTTAACTACTGTGAGGCATTAAATGGGTTTGTGGCCATTATCTTGCACATTAATCTAGTGCAAGTAGAGAAAGAAAAAATATGGGATTTTCACAGCTGA